AGAGTTTGTCACCAGCAGAATGTCAGCAAGGGCTGTCAATGTGTCTTGGCCCAAGATCACACTTTTGAAGCACCACCGGGACCTGCTGCTTCCCCTACAGAGAAGAGGGAATGGCTCCAGTGGTTACCTCCCATGCTGCAAGTATACTTTTTGTTGTTGCTCAGTTGAGTCCGACTCTTCGCGACCCCGCCAGGCCCTCCTGTCTTCCGCCGTCCTCTGGTTTGCTCAATTTTATGTTCGTTGCATCTTTGACACTGTCTAGCCATCTCATTCTTTGCCGCCCCGTCTTCTTTGACCTTCAATCTTTCCCAGCATCAGGGTCGTCTTCTCCAGTGAGGGCTCCCTTCTCATTGGGTGTACTTAAGGGAGTGATAATCATGACATGTGTCAGGACAGGGCCCTCAGCTGGGTCACAGAGTCTCACCTGCTGGGTTGAAAAGGAAGTCCAGGAGCACCTTAAAGACTAACACAATTTGTGGCAGGGGAGGAGCTTTCGTGAGTCGCTTGTCCAGATACGCAGGTATCTGAAGAAGTGAGCAGTGACTCGCGCAAGCTCATCCTCTGCCACAAAGTGTGTTAATCTGTAAGGTGCTCCTGGACTCTCCCCCTCTGTTCTACTACTACAGACAAACATGGCTACCCATCTTGATCCATCTGCTGGGTTGAGGGGTGCAAAAAACCCTTTTGCAAGGATCAGCTGCCTGCTAGCGTGCAGACGTAGAAAGGAAGGGCACTGTGCCTCCTTGCCTTTCCCTGCGTCCAGGCTGAGAATAGCAAGGTGGGGGGGGGGTCACTCAGAGAAAATTCCTCTTTAGCACGGGCAGGTTCACAGCCTCCCTCTCAGAAGAGATTGGATTTATACCTCGCCCTTCACTCCGAGTCTCAGGCCAGCTTACGAACTCCTTTCCCTTCCCCACAACAGACACCCTGTGAGGTCAGTGGGGCTGAGAGAGCTCTGACAGAAACGGCTCTTTTTCAAGGACAGCTCTTATCAGAACTATGGCTTGCCCAAGATCATACAGCAGCTGCAAGTGGAGGTGTGGGGAATCAAACCCGGTTCTCCCAGATTAGAGTCCGCGCACTTAACCACTACACCAAACTGGCGTTCACAAGCTTGCCAGTCAGTGGATCTATGCTACCACCTGTGAGTTACAGGTGGGTCTTGCCATCTTGTCTTGGAATGGTTGAAGATGTCTGTGATACAGTAAACAGTGCAAATATCTTATGTGCAGAAGTGCTTTCCACCCACAGTATTTCTGTTATTGTCTGCAAACTCAGAGCTGGTGGAAAAAATGCACCCCTGGGATGAGCCGTCATGCTCCAAGAACAGGGTCCTTGAGTGCTTATGTATGCTAATGGCTCTGGCCAAAGCAAGACAATGGTTTACCATTTAAATACTTCACTAGCATGCCCCATCTCAAGGGACAGACTGCTGAGAACCAAATGGCTAGATGGTAAACCCTTCCTCTTGAAGCCAGAAGGGCTGAGATACCCAAGAGGAAGGCTCAGACTCTCCCCAGGGGAAATTATAAATTCCCTGGACATAAAAAGCTTTCTTACTCTTCCATCTGGAGCAGCCCTTTGAAGAGGCACCAAGCATGAAGGACTCCATCTTTCCCACGTGGCAAAAAACAGGAAGGTAGTGACAAACTTTAAGTACTGCAACTTCATATAAAGATAGTCTGTCCTATTTAAACATTTTTAGGATAAGTAAAAAGTATACGAAAAGGAGACTGTGTTCCTTCTTTGTGTAACTTTCTCTTTATACCCTTGCTTAGCCCGAATGCTTGAAAAGACAATGTGTATTCTTTTTATTAATTTATTAAACTTTCTTACGTATTGAAAACGCTTAATCTGATCTCTGGAAAAACACATCTATTCTGTTTTGCTATATGAAGTGTGGTAACACAGATGGGTAGCCGGGTAAGCTCTCCATCCCCAGAGCAATATAGTCCTAAAGTGTGCGGTTGAGACACTGTCCCTGCACATGCTTGTAGGAGTGTAGCTGGACCTGAGTGCTAGACTTGTGACTCCTAGCAGGAATCACTGGTGGCAGCAGTGGTTACCCTGTTCATTTTTTCACTCTTCTGGGGAGTGAGGGGGAGAGGTGGTGCTGCAGAGACTGGAGATAGCCGTGGGGCTTTCTAATCTCCCAGCTGCCCAACCCGAAGGAACAGGAGGGACTTGTGAGACCGTTCCTTCACATACTGAAAGAACTCATACACCTTATGAAGATGCAGAGTGCAGTCTTCCTTGTGTGCACCTGGATGAAACCATTTCCACTGCTATACCACAGTCACTCTCGAAGAGCAAAGTTTCTTGCTTTGGACAAAACACCAGTGGGTGAGCAGCCTCTCAAGACTGTGCCTTCTAAGAAAGGGCATCCCACGTAACCTTCAAAATTGCCTCCCGGCAGGCAACTAAATTTGGCTCCGGCATCATGAGGTCTGCCACGCTGAAGCAACTTCACACACCCGAGAGTCAGGAGGCAGAGAGCCTGCTCGTCTCATGATCTTCACACAACGGGCAGGCCGGACAGGCTCAACGGGGGCTCCCAGCCATCCTGCTAAATCCTTCACACCGTGCAGAATTGTAGGAATCTGTGGCCAGAGATGGTGATGCTTGGATGACAATGAAAGCCGTGTGGAGAGTGTCTGTTGCCTTGATGGTCAGAGGCACGACTATTTCACATTGCTGCTCACATTGCTACACACCCCACTTCGGGGGGGGGGGACTTCTCTCTGACTTCCGTGGGAGCCGCAGTGCAGGAAGAGGCAAGGCTTTGGTCTGATTCTGGAAGGCTAGCCGGGAGGAGGGGCAGCCTCGTTTTCCGGCCAACCACCGCAGACCAGAGGGGAGCCCACCTCCATGCTCTTCTTCTTCTTCAGGGAAGTGCCACCGTGGCTCTGACTGTGGAATGGAAGGCGACTTCTAAGTCAGGCTCTTAAGAAAACAGAAGCCGGTTCTGAAAGACCTCCTCTTTGCAGACAGAGCGCTGCCAACAGGCCAGGCGGCGAAAGGCTAGCGGGGCAGGTGGGAGCCCCCCCCAGCAGTCGGCAACTGGGACGCTCCAACTGGCCCACCCCCGCCCCGCATTTTAGAACAGAAACCTCTACAAACTCACCGGCAGCTATGCCTGCCCAAGGGTTGCACACACTTCCGCTACAGGGAGCTTAAGACACTCTCCCTCCTCCCACCCCCGAGAAACCAGGCAGGCCGTGCAAACTTAGCAATGAACAACTCAGGCTTCAGTGATGCTGGAATTTCAAAGTGTGGCACCTGGGGGGGGGAGGGGCATCTACGGGGCCACAGTGGAAAACCGAACGCACTGGAGACAGAACCCTGCTTGGCCGCTAACAAGGGTGACCCAATAGATTTGTTTACCTAGACTTCCAGAAAGCTTTTGATAAAAGTTCCTCATCAAAGGCTCCTAAAGTAGCCCTGATCTGGACAGCCCATGCAAGCCCGAGACCTCGGAAGCTAAGCAGGGCCGACCCTGGTAAGTACTTGGGAGACCTCCAAGGAATATCAGGGCCGGGGCGTGACGCCACCTCTCTGCAATGTCCAAGCCCTACTAGGGGTCACCAGAAGTCAAGTGCGCGCACACACAATACTCACCAAAAAAAGGCTAAGTAAACTAAATAGACGAGATAAGAGGGCAAGTCCTCTTGTGGATTAGAAACTAGTTAATTAATGGGCAATTTTCTCAGTGGAGGGTGGTAAGCAGTGGAGTACCACAGGGATCAGTACTCGGTCCGATGCTTTTTAACTTGTTCATTAATGATTTGGAGTTGGGAGTAGGCAGTGAAGTGGCTGAGTTTGCAGATGACACGAAGTTGTTCAGGGCGGTGAGAACCAGGGAGGATTGTGAGGCGCTCCAGAGGGATCTGTCGAGGATGGCCGAGTGGGCGTCAATGTGGCAAATGGGGTTCAACGTGAGCAAGTGCAAAGTGATGCACATTGGAGCAAAAAATCGTAATGTTGATGGGGTCCAAACTGGCAGTGACTATTACCAGGAGAGAGATCTTGGAGTAGACTCCCTGAAAATGTTGACTCCGTTTGTGACTGCAATAAAAAAGGCAAATGCTAGCCTGTGAATTATTAGGAAGGGGACCGAAAACAAATCAGCCAGTATCGTCAATGCCCCTGTATAAATCGATGGTGTGGCTTCATTTGGAATACTGTGTGCAGTTCTGGTCACCACACCTCAAAAAGGATATCATAGCATTGGAAAAAGTGCAGAAAAGGGCAACTCGAATGATTAAGGGGGTGGAACCCCTTCCCCGTGAAGAAAGGTTAAAGAGGTTAAGGTTCTTTAGTTTGGAGAAAAGAGGACTGAGAAGGCAGAGAAAGAAGTCCTTTTCTCCCTTTCTGACAACAGAACTCCTGGGCACTCCATGAAGTTAATGAGCAGTAGGCTTGGAACAGATCCAAAGAAGTCCTTCTTCACCCAAAGAGGAATTCACTGCCACAGGAAGTGGTGGTGGCTACTAGCACAGACAGCTTCAAGAGGGGATTCGATAAACATTTGGAGCAGAGGTCCCTCAGTGGCTAGTATAAATGAAACACTATATATGGGGCCATGGTGCTCTGTATTCTCAGTGTTGGGGGGGGCAAGAGTGGGAGGGCTTCTGGAGTTCTGGCCCTGCCAGTGGACCTCCAGATGGCACCTGGTTTTTTGTTTTGTTTCTTTGGTCGCTGTGTGACACCGAGTGTTGGACCGGACGGGCCCTTGGCCTGACGATCCAACCTGGATTCTCTGATGTTCCTACAGGGCTCTTTGTGGGAGGCCTTCCCGTCTCCGTTCCAGCGTGGCTCTCCGCCTGCCCTCTACTGAGGGACACCCAGAAAGGGGCGACGAGACACCCTCCCCCTCCACAGCACACAACAGAGCCAAGTCCAAAGTAGAAAAATGTATTCCTGGCCAGAGCACAACCCGAAGACAGCTGCAGGAGCCAAGGCACAGCCCCCCCCCCCCGCCCTCGCTGGCCATCCGGGGGTCTCTTTGGAAAGCCCCCAGCATTGCTGACCTGCCTGCTCAGTTAGCAAAACAGAAAGGGGCAGGCAGTTCTGGTCCCGGGGTCTTCTCAGCGATGGCACCGCTCTGAAGGCACGGCGGGGGTGGGGCGGGGCACGGCGTCCCCCCTGCACAGGGAGCTGCAGGAGGGAGGAAAGGAGACTCACTTGGGAGGCTTGTGGCAGTAGCAGAGGGGGGCAGGCAGGCGGCAAGGTCACGTTGAGGGAATGTCGGTTTGGCCGGGCCGTGGCTGGAATGTGAAATTTCCCAAGATAGAAAACAAGAGAAGAGACTGGGAATGTGGTGGGGAGGGGGGGTGCCTGCCCCAAAGGATAGGAAGTGAGGAGGTGGTGGTGGGGGGGGGGAAAAGGATGCATTTTGTGCGGCAGGAGCTGCAGCTATGGAGCCCCAGTGCTACGCTGGCCGTGTTGCCCCCGCCCCCGGAGGAAGGCCGCCCGGTGTGGCCTGTGGCTTCTTCCCCTCCAGGAGCTGGAGGAAAGTCGAGTTCAGGCTGACCAGCTGCGGGAGGGGGGCGGGGCGGGGCGGACTCCTCTCCCTCGGCCTCTTCCCTGCTCCCCACTGGGCTCACGCCCGGCAGTTGTCCACGCAGTCCGTCCCGCTGCGGAAGAGGTGGTAGACGCTGGTGAGGGGGAACATGAGGAGGGCGCCCACCAAGGATCCCACCTGGATGATGGTGCCGCACCAGACCAGGGCGGCGTGGCCCGCCTCGTGCAGCAGGCTGCCGATCACCACCTTCAGGTAGGAGAAGAGGCCCATGAACAGGATCCAGGAGGTCACCTGCCGGGGGGAGAGGACAGCCTCAGAGTGCGGACTCGCTGGCCAGCCGTGGGGCCGGGCCCCGCTCGGCAGCCGGAGGGAGGCGAGGAATGATGGGGCTTCTTTGGCCCTGACCGCTGCCGGAGGCAACACTGTGGCTTCCTTGGCATTCATTCCACGCACATGCCCATCCCCTCTTTCTCCGGGGATCCCATTCATATGGTCAGAACAGTGTTCCCTCCAAGCGGAGTTAACGTGAGCTGGCACACAGTTTTTAAGCCTCCGGCTCACACATTTTTGTCTCAACCCAGGAAGGATGGGGCTCCAGAGCACACTAATTGATGCAGCAGCCAAATCACTCGCTCACAGCTTTAATGCCAGTCGCTCGTAAAGTGGAATTTTTGCCCAAAAGCAATGCTCCCTCTGAGCTGTGGAGTCTTGTGTGCAAAAATTCTCCTTGGTGAGCGACTGGCATTAAAGTTGTCAGCTGCTTAAATTAGTTTGCTCTGGAGCCCCCTCCTTCCTGAGCTGAGACAAAAAATGCGTGAGCCGGAGGCTAAAGAACTGTTAGCTAGCTCACACCAATGCAGCTTAGAGGGAACACTGGCCGTGGGCCTCACAGCCCCGTGAGGGCTTGACGTGGCTCCCCGAGGAGGGTCTCTTGTCAAGTTGCAGCCAACCTACGGCAACCCCAGTACAGTTTCCAACGCCAGAGACACCCAGACGGGGCGGATGAAGGCTCCCGGGTGCCCACAGCACTGACCCCTCTTGGTGCCCCCCTCCTCCCTTTCCACACTGACCCCCAGCCCAGTTTAGTGGTTGACCTGTCTGACCAGATCGACAATGCAGGTTGCAGCCAGTGTTCCCTCTGAGCTGAGTGAGTGTGAGCTAGCTCACGGTCTTTTAGCCTCCGGCTCACAGATTTTTGTCTCAGCCCAGGAAGGGACGGGGCTCCAGAGGAAGCTAATCGATGCAGCAGCCACATCGCCCGCTCACCACTTTAATGCCAGCAGCTCACAAAGTGGAATTTTTGCTCCACCGCTTAGGAGGGAGCACTGGACCGGAGGGATGGCTGAGTGCCGCACACTGGCTTCAGGAGACAGACTGCAAGGGCCCTGCCCTCTTCCCCAGCCACGAGGGCCCTGTCCCCCAGCCCCACCTGGAAAAGGGACCGGGTGCCACGCCGAGCCTTGCGGGCCCCGAGCCTGCACAGGAGGAGGACATGGACACAGAGGGGCCCCCGGAGGGCAGAGGCTGCAGGTTCAACCCCCCCACCCCCGGCGCCAGAGGATCTGTGTGCTCTTCTCGGCAGCCGCTGCCATACTCACCACCAATGCCACGCCTACGGGGCTGCCCACCAGCGGCGGGCAGGGGCTGAAGGCCGCCAGGACCATCAGGTAGGCTCCAAAGACGCCCCCCAGGGCGGAGAGGAGGCCCAGGCCCAGGGACGACCTGACGGGAAAAGAGAGAGGCAAGCAAGCAATCAGTGGAAGCGTGGCACCCACCCACGGAGAAGGTGGCCCGGAGGCCCCACAGCAAACCCTCCCCGCCCCCCCCCCTCTTCCATCCCGGCTGGAAGGTGAGAAAGGGGGTGGGGCAGGAAGAGGACGGCGGCTGTTTGCTGCCACCTGGTGGCCAAGAGGGGCAGCCTGCAGAGATGTTAAAAGAGTTCCAGAGTCCCTGCGGAGTTTGGGGCAGGCCAGAATTGACCCCGCCCTTCACAGGGCCTGGGAGAGGCGGGTGCAAAGCTGGGGAGCCCCGGTGTCAAGCCCCACCTTCCCCTACATACAAAACCGACAAGGCAAGGTGGCCGTGGGCCAGCCACTCCCTACTCCACCCCACAGGGCAGGCGTAAGGGGGATGGTCTACCTCACAGGGTTGCTAAGAGCACACCTGAGGAAATGTGGGCAAGTCCTTCGAAGCCACTCAGGACAAGAGGAGGAGGAGGAGACTGGATTTATATCCCGCCCTTCACTTGGAGTCTCAGAGCGGCTTGCAACCTCCTTTCCCTTCCCCTCCCCACAACAGACACCCTGTGAGGGAGGTGGGGCTGAGAGGGCTCTCTCGAGGACTGCCCTCAAGAGAACAGCTCCGAGAGAACTTGTGACTGACCCAAGGTCACACCAGCAGCTGCCCATGGAGGAGTGGGGAATCAAGCCTCGTGAACACAGACGGTGATCTCTGGGCAGCAGAGTTAAGTCAGGACATGGATCCAAAGCCTATCCCCTGCCCTGGGTGGGCCTCTCTGCCGCCCCTTGGTTTCCCGCTGGCAGAACGGAAAGAGCATCGGACGACCAGGAGAGAGGAAACGCGGCAGGCGAGGGGCCGTGGGGGCAAGGGAAGGGTTCGGCAGTGGAGGCCGTCAAGCCACTGAGAGTGACCGTATCACAGAACTAACACGTTGGAAGGGGCCTGGAGGCCATTCGGTCCAATCCCCGGGCACCCTGCAGGACGACCCGAATCACCCCTGACAAATAACCATCCAACCAAGGCTCCCTCTAAGCTGTGGAGTCTTGTGAGCAAAAATTCTACTCTGTGAGTGACTGGCATTAAAGTGGTGAGCGAGCAATTCGGCTGCTGCATCAATTAGTTTGCTCTCTGGAGCCATCCTTCCTGAGCTAAGACAAAAATGTGTGAACTGGAGGCTAAAAGACTGTGAGCCAGCTCACACTCACTCAGCTTAGAGGGAACACTGCATCCAACCGCTGCTTAAGCCAGTTTGGTGTCGTGGTTAAGTGCGTGGACTCTAATCTGGGAGAACCAGGTTGCATTCCCGACTCCTCCACTCATAGCTGCTGGATGACTTTGGGCAAGCCATAGTTCCGATAAGAGCTGTCCTTGAAAAAGAGCCGTTTCTGTCCAGAGCTCTCTCAGCCCCACCCACCTCCCAGGGTGCCTGTCTGTTGTGGGGAGGGAAGGGGAAGGAGTCTGTAAGCTGCTCTGAGACTCCCTAAGGGCGGGGTATAAATCCAATCTCTTCTTCTTCTTAAATACCTCCAAAGGAAGGCGGGCTGGACATGACGAAGTGCACGACCAGATTCTTACGGGATGCTGGCAATGACGGCATGGGGTGTTTGGACACTGGCAGCCCTGACACTACCGATGGGCAGACCCTGAGCCCCCCTCCCAGAAGAGCCCGGCTGAGGCTCCACCCTCTCTCCCCAACCCTTTCCGTCTTCAGGGCAGCCAGGCCAGAGGTGCCCAGTCCCAGGTGGCAGGCCAGTCCACAAAGAGCCCTGCCAGCTGCTTCGGACTGGCTCATGCCGTGCCCGGGCAGGAAAAGGCCCCTGACCTGGTTCTCCTGCCGCCTCTTCTGCCGAAAATGGAAGGACCAGACATGCAGGCAGCTCCGGACTCCCCCTGGATGCCTCTCCCGCCCCCATGCTAGCCCGCTGATGCCAGACCTTGGGAGCAAGGCTCCCCCTCTACGCTGTGGAGAGTCTGGTGTGAGCAAAGATTCTACTCTGTGAGCTACTGGCATTAAAGTGGTGAGCCAGCGATTCGGCTGCTGCATAAATCAGTTTGCTCTGGAAAGGAGCCCTCCTTCCTGAGCCGAGACAAAAAGGTGTGAGCTGGAGGCTAAAGAACTGTGAGCTGGCTCACACTGACGCAACTTAGAGGGAACACTGCTTGGGAGCAAAGTAAGGTCAGCCCCGGGTCGCTACGCATGGCCAGCCACCTCCGAGCGTCTCCTGCCCGCAAGACCCTGCAGGGGTCGCCCTAAGTGGGCTGGGCCCTGACGGTTCTTTCCGCTCCCACCAGGCGCCTGTGGACTAGGGGCTAACGGCACCCACAGGACGGGAGGCCGCGTGGCAGCTGCCACAGGAGGAACCCACCTGCAGAGGAGGAACATGGCGACGAAGCAGGCCACGGGGTTGGCGATGTTGCTGAGCACCACAGAGAGGTGATAGGCCATGCCCCCGTACGGCAGGCAGGAGTAGCTCTGCACGGAAGGCAGGACCCCGTTGGTCAGGGCGCTGCAGACCCCCAGCAGCACCAGCAGGTAGATGTTCCTCCGCGTCCAGAAGCTGGCGGCTTGCGGCTTGGCGGGTGCTTCCGGGCCGGGGCTCTCTGCGGTGCCGTCGGCGGTGGGGGCGCCGTCAGTCTGCAAGGGGAAGGACTCCTCCGACGCCACGCTCTCCTGGGAGGAGCCCTTCCCCGGGGAGGAGCCCCCCTCCTTGTGCCAGAGCAGCAGGGCCAGGAAGGCCAGGGCCGAGACCGCCAGGAGGCCGGCCAGCAGCCAGAAGAAGGTGGTGGCCGAGAAGTTCTCTTCTAGGTAATGCGGCCGCGAGGCGTTGCCATGTGTGCCGTTGAGGCACTCCAGCTGCCCCACGCCCTGCCCCAGGGCCAGCACGCAGGGCAGGAGGGCGCTGAGCCCCTGCCCGATGAAGAAGGTGCGCACAAAGATGGGCGGGAACTGGTACATGAAGGGCAAGAAGGAGACGTTGGAGGTGCAGCAGACGAGGGCCAGCAGGAAGGCCAGCACCAGGTAGGCCAGGCTGTGCTCTGCGCTGGCCACCGCCGTCGTCCAGTCCCAGAAGAGCGCCAGGAAGAGGGCTGCCCCCACCGCCAGGAGCTGGACGGCGTGGATCAGCCAGCGCTCCTTCAGCCGCCCGGGCGCCAAGTGGTGCGTCAGGGTCACGCTCATGGGCCCCACATTGCCCAGGGCGATGAGGACGGACAGGTAGGCGGGGAGGTTCCAGCCTGCAAGGAGGAAAGGCAGAGTCGGGCCGCTGCACAGGCTTCCATGCCTCAGCGGCAAGAGGGTCAGGAGGGAAAGGGGGCTATGGCAAGAGGGCGGTGGGGAAAGGGAAACGGGCCAAGTCTGTGCCAAGGTTCAAAGCTGCTTCTGAGCTATGACGCAGCAGGGCAGGGCAAGCAATTCAGAACTGGAGATGGGGGGGGGGGGGGGGACTCAGAGACACATGGAATATGGATTCTGCTGGGAAACTGGAGAGGCTCCGTCAGTCCAGCCACGTACAAAAATCTCCCAGAGAACTGCTAGGGAGGCTAACGGCAGGCTTGGACAGCGTCAGGAGAGCTTCTGCAAAGGAAGTCCTGCTTCACTAGACTTCTGGAGTTCTCTGAGAGCGTTGGAGAGATGGAGGGTCTCACGCTTCCCAAAGAGACCTTGCCAAAGTCCCGCCCGGAAGCTCCCAAGTCTACCGAGGAGCCTAGAAGCACAGAGGGGGGTCCCCTCAGGCGGAGCAAGAGGGAGGGAGGGGAGGGGGGAGTAAGCACACCCCAGCTGCACGACGGAGGGAAGCGAGCCGCTGAGGTCCCACGGGAACCGGTGCTCTTTAGTCCACTCGTCCGTGGCCTCGGCCACCGTGGGAGGCAGGATGCCAGCCCGGGGGGCCTCCGCCCGGACCCTTGCGGCCCTCCCCAAGATCCCACAGCAAGGGCAGCGGAGCCATTCAATGCTCCCTCTAAGCCGTGGAGTCTTGTGAGCGAGAATTCCACTTTGTGAGCTACTGGCATTAAAGGTGTGAGCAAGCGACTTGGCTACTGCATAAGTTAGTTTGCTCTGGAGCCACCCCTTCCAGAAGCTAAGACAAAAATGTGTGAGCCAGGGGCTAAAAAGCCGTGAGCCAGCTCACACTAACTCAGCTTAGAGGGAACACTGGAGCCACTCCAGGGGGGACCTGCCTGGCACCCCCTTCCCCATCAGCTGGCCCCCTGCCTGGGCTTCCTGCTCCTGGACTTCCCAGTGGCCCTCTAGACGAGCCCTCGGAAAGCCCAGCAAAGCTGCTCCCCTCCCCTTCATGCCCGCGTTTCACCCGATGATGTGGACATGGATCCCACTTGTTCCTCAAGACCCTGTCCCCGCTCCTCACCTTCGGGAAGCTTCTTCACCACCACTGGGAGCTCCACCCACAGGGAGTTGATGGCGACCCAGGAGCCCATGCCGAAGAGGGCCACAAGCACGTGGGTGGCCACCGAGCGGTTGATCAGGGAAGAAGACATCTTCTCGGCCTGGGGAGAGAAAGCGGGGAGTAAGAACCACCACCAACAAATCAGAGAGTTTCTCCTGCTGGATGGGTTTGCCGATCCAGCCCTCTATATCTATGTTGCCATTTAGAGGCTCTACTTAGTTGCTGCGTCTCCTCCTTTGCTCTTACAAGCTACTGTAGAGGAAATTAACTGCACTTTTGTGCTCCAGGAATATCAAGCTCACCTGCTGCCCCTCCTCTTTATTGTCCTGAAGACAGGTGTTTTGTATTTACAGAGATCAGGCTTGGAGCATTCAAAATATAAGAAAGTTTAATAAACAAAAAGAGTACACATTGTCTGTTCAAGCATGAAGCTGAGCAAGGATACAAAGAAAAGGTGAAAGCCCACAGTGTTCTCACTCAGAGAGGGCTGGCCAGGGCCCTGCTGCTCACTTCACCCATGGTCCGTCCCTTCTCTGCCTCTGGCTCCCTCCCATTCCCAGACGTCTGACAGCACGTTCCTCAGAGCGGGTCCTGCTGCGGAGCACCCAGGAAAGTGAGGGCCTGGTCACAACACCCCTCTCGGCACCATCGTCTCCGCTCGGGGAGGGGCCTGCAAAAGGCTTGGCAGCAGCACACCCTTCAGCGCTGAACTACTTCCATCCTGCCTTGCGCCAAAGCCGGGAGGCTCGTCACGATGGATTGAAATGGCAAGGACAATGGGCAGTCAACTCAGAAAAACCGGGTCTGTGCCATCGACCCAGTACAGGCCAAACAACTGAAAGCCAGAAAAACTGCTGGACAAGCACCTGTCTCCAGGGCAATAAAGAGGAGGGGCAGCAGGTGAAGATATTCCTGGAGCACAAAAGTGCAATTAATTTCCTCTGCAGTAGCTTGTAGGAGCAAAGGAGGAGACGGAGCAACTAGGCAGAGCCTCTAAATGGCAACTGAGGCTGTGGGATAGGCCATGGCTCAGTGTGAGAATGTGTGCTCTGCGTGCAGAAGGTCCCAGGTTCAATCCCCAACATCTCCAGCTAAAAGGGCCAGGCAGTTGGGGGTAGGAAAGACCTCAGTCCGAGACCTGGGAAAGCGGCTGCCAGTCGGTGGAGACAAGACTAACCGTTGAGAGACTAGGGCCTGGCTCAGCAGCAAGCAACTTCCGGTGTTCGAGTCCAGCGCCCCCAGTTTTCACGTGCAGCCTAAAGTCTGCCATCGAAGGGGTCAGCTGGACCCCAGACTATCAGAGCCACAATTCTGTTTCTCCCGAGGGGGTGAAACCACACACAGGCCACCCCACAGGGAAATCTGGCTGCTGGCTGAGAAAGGTTTTCATATTAAATGGAAATGACACTCTCCGGAGCCAAAAGAAGAGAGAGGTGGCGATCAAAGCATCCCTACCTTCCACGCCAGGAGTGTCTCTGGCAGCAGAGCTCTTTCAGGAGGTGCCCCGGGACAGTCCTGCTTGGTCCTGGAAGAAGAAGAAGGAGAAGCAGGCTTAATTACGGACACAGGTGGAGCAGCCTGACCCCGACCCCGCTCGTCCGGGTGTGATGCTGGCAGCCACTCCCCCAAGGTCTCAGGCAGGTGACCCAGGAAGGTGAGGCCTGAGCCCGGGGCTTTCGCATGCAGAGCTGGGGCATCCTTTGGCCACTGAGGGCTGCTGACACAAGATCCTGCTGCCCAGGATGAGCGGCGACGAAGCCCAAACTCTGCCTCGAGGAGCCTGCGTTTCTGCAACCAAACTAACCAAAGCGAGGCGATGCAGACAACGGCAGCTGCGTTTCAAGTCCCAGAGCAGCATTTTTACTGGAACTTCTTAATAAAGGAGCAGTGTGATGAGAAAGAGGGGAAAAAACAGGTATTTGAGGGGCTCAGGACCCGCTAAGAAAAGTCAGGCAGCCAAGCCCTGCCTCTTAAAAGACAGGAAGCAAAGGCCCAAAGCTGCAGGTGCTCATAAGAACATAAGAACATAAGAGACGCCAATGTTGGATCAGGCCAAAGGCCCATCCAGTCCAACACTCTGTGTCACACAGTGGCCAGAAATACCAGTGCCATCAGGAGGTCCAGCAGTGGGGCCAGGACATTAGAAGCCCTCCCACTGTTGACCCCCCCCCCAAGCACCAAGAAGACAGAGCATCACTTGCCCCAGAGCCCCTAGCTATACCTTGTGGCTAATAGCCACTGATGGACCTCTGCTCCATATGCTTATCTAATTCCCTTTTGAAGCCGTCCATGCTTGTAGCACCCACCACTTCCTGTGGCAGTGAATTCCATGTGTTAATCACTCTTTGGGTGAAGAAGTACTTCCTTTTATCCGTTCTAACCCGACCGCTCTGCAGTTTCATGGAGTGCCCACGAGTTCTTGTATTGTGAGAAAGGGAGAAAAGTACCTCTTTCTTTACCTGCTCTTTCCCATGCATAATCTTATAAACCTCGATCATGTCACCCCTCAGTCGTCTTTTCTCCAAGCTAAAGAGCCCTAAGCGCTTTAACCTTTCCTCATAGGGAAAGTGTTCCAACCCTTTTATCATTCGAGTTGCCCTTTTCTGCACTTTTTCCAAAGCTATAATATCCTTTTTAAGGTGTGGTGCCCAGAACTGCACACAGTATTCCAAATGAGGTCTCACCATTGATTTATATAGGGGCATTATTATATTGGCTGATCTGTTTTCAATACCCTTCCTAATAATCCCCAGCATAGCATTGGCCTTCTTTATTGCAGTCACACACTGTCTCGACATTTTCAGTGAGTTATCCACTACAACTCCAAGATCTCTCTCTTGCTCAGTCTCTGCCAGTTCAGACCCCATCAATGTGTATTTATATTTAGGATTTTTGGCTCCAATGTGCATCACCTTGCACTTGGCCACATTGAACCCCATTTGCCATGTTGACGCCCACTCGCCCATCCTTGACAGATCCCCTTGGAGTGCCTCACAATCCTCACTGGTTTTCACCACCCTGAACAACTTTGTATCATCCGCAAATTTAGCCACTTCACTGCTTACTCCCATCTCCAAATCATTAATGAACAAGTTAAAAAGCAGTGGACCAAGTACTGATCCCTGCGGTACCCCACTGCTTACCACCCTCCACTGAGAAAATTTCCCACCTACACTCACTCTCTGTTTTCTATGAACTAGCCAGTTTTTGATCCATAAAAGGACTTGTCCTTCTATCCCATGATTTTTGAGCTTACTTAGGAGCCTTTGATGAGGAACTTTATCAAAAGCTTTCTGGAAGTCAAGGTAAATAATATCTATTGGATCCCCCTTGTCCACATGTTTGTTCACCCCCTCAAAGAACACTAACAGGTTAGTGAGACAAGATCTTCCCTTACAGAAACCGTGCTGAGTCTGCCTTTCCCCTCTGCTGCATTACCTCCCCACACGCAGAAGGACTTGAGAGGGAGCTTTCCTTTCGGAAGTCCGCTCCAACAGAAGTCAGATTACGATCATTCCGTCCCAGAAACCAGCTTCTGTGCAGCACCGCTCAAAAGACACAGCCCCCCCGCCCCCCCCAGCATCTGCAGTGCACTACAGCAGCCAGAAAGGAGGATGCTAATAAAAAAGACTGCGTGAATAAAGCGAGAAGGGGGGAGGACACAGACTGGAGAGGAGAGGAGGCAGCACGGCCAGGCCAGGCCAGGCGACGGGAGAGGTGATCCTAGCAAGGGAGGCCCAGTTTGGTGTGGTGGTTAAGTGCGCGGACTCTAATCTGGGAGAACCGGGTTTGATCCCCCACCCCTCCACTTGCAACTGCTGGTGTGGCCTTGGGTCAGTCACAACTTCTCTCAGAGACATGCCACAGAGACACCACACAAGGGGCTACTGGATTTAAGGGGAGGGAAGCCTTAGGAATCCCACAGTTGCTGTGGAGCACCCAGGACAAAACACCAGTAAGGCAGAGCACCGAGACCGGCTACTAACAAGGTCAGAGCAGATTTTGGGGAGCAGACTCTCCTGGGACCAAGCGGTCCTCCCGAAGACAACAGTACAGGTCTCCAAGGACTGAGTAACACAGAGAACGGTGCTGGTAACAAGAGAGCTCGCAAGCAGCCAGGGAAACCACAGGCGGGACAAGGACAGGGCTGGCGATCTTCTCTTACCGTGGATCAGAGCTTTGTTTTTCAGTTACCACCAGCTTCCTCGATCTAGCCCTGAACGGAAGAAGACATCAGGTCGGATGGGGCATTTCTCAGACCACGGAGGCTGTTTTTGTAGGAGAGAAAAGATGTATTGGTTTCTGATGGGCACAGCATTTGTACAAAACACACATCAAGCAGAGGTCTCTCTGGCAAAACAGAGGAACGAACACCAGGCTGTGCCCGCTCCAAACGCAGGGCTCGCGGACAAGTCACGGCTCCAGCTGAAGAGCACGGAGGGAAAGCAGCAGCCACTCTTGAAGGAAACATTCCATGTTGACTCTCTAATACCAGAACCCAAGGTGAAGAGTTGATAAGGAGTGATTGATAAGAACTAGGATTGCTACACGCTCAGGTAAAGCAAATATTGTGAAACGAATGCTTACATTGCGCAGCATTTGTTAGCGTGTGAGCGATAATAGAAGAAAATTTTCACCAGGATTACTACAGTAAATGCTTTTGCAACTTATCTGTATTGACTCTTCATGATTTTTGTCACGGAAACGAGCCAGAGTCCGGGAGCACCTTAAAGGCGAACAAAATCTGTGGCAGGAGGGGAGGAGCTTCTAGGCATCACTGCTCACTTCTATACAACAGGGAGTGACGCACACCAGCTCATCCCCTGCCACACAACTTTGCTCGTCTTTAAGGCACTACCAGCCTCTTGCTCTTTTCCATTGCGACAGACTAACACGGCCGCCCATCTCTGGTTGCGGAGTGTAAGCCACGTTGTGCCAACCTGCTGGGGATGCCTCCTGAAAGAGCACATTCCCCTCTCTTGCCAGCGCTGTTCATGTCAGTGGGGCCTGCAGCAGAGACGTTCCCAACATTCTTTGAAATCAGAGGGAGGCTGGGGGCAACCAAGCGGGTTCCTAGCCTCTCTCGCCCCCACCCCTGCATACCTCTCACCCCCACCAAGCTCCACCACCCCTGCCTTGCCCTCACCAGCGGCAGGAAAGAGGGGCAGAACCCAACAGGAACCCTTCGTGACTGCAGAAGGGGACTGGCAGGCAGGCAGGCAGGCTGGCCGGCGACAGGCCAGGGCAAGAGCTGATCGGAACTGGAGGCACTGTGCACATCAGGAGGCCCCGAATGCCGGCTTCCCAAGCATGAGAGGCTGAGTCTCTCCTCTTGCCAGCAAGCCAGAACAATTCCAGGATGGCGCCACCTGTTCTCCAGCCCCAGGAGGCCAAACGTTCCTCCTGCCCCCGCAGTGTATTCCCCCCCCCCCACTCGCACATGGGTTTGGCATCCTTTGCACACGGTTATGCAATCCACGCCGGCATCACACAAGACAGGGCAGGCTGCACCGTGGCCCAGGGCTCCTCCCAGCCCCTTCCAGGAACACAGAGAACCCCAGACAGAGCTCTTGGATTAGGCCAGCCCAGAGTGGGGAGGAAAACAGCAAGCCTTCTGCGGATCAAGCCTCTAGAGCAGTGGTTCTCAACCTGTGGGTCGCGACCCCTTTGGGGGTCGAACGACCCTTTCACAGGGGTCGCCTAAGACCATTGGAAGACACAAATTTTCAATGGTCTTATGATAGCAACGAAAATAATTTTATGGTTGGGGGTCACCACGACATGAGGAACTGTATTAAAGGGTCGCGGTATCAGGAAGGTTGAGAACCACTGCGCTAGAGCAAACTAACATGCCAGGGTGTTTCACAGAGCCCCACACAATGTTCCCTCTAAGCTGAGTCAGAGCAAGCTAGCTGACAGTTTTTTAGCCTCCAGCTCACACATTTCCTGCCTTCGCTCAGGAAGGAGGGCTCCAGAGCAAACTAATTTACGTAGTAGCCAAATCGCTCACTCACGATTTTAATGCCAGTCGCTCACAAGGTAGAATTTTTGCTCACAAAACTCCACGGCGTAAAGGGAACATTGGTCACCACAACATGAGGAACTGTATTAAAGGGTCGCGGCATTAGGAAGGTTGAGAACCACTGCGCTAGAGCAAACTAACGTGCCAGGGTATTTCACAGAGCCCCACAATGTTCCCTCTAAGCTGAGTCAGAGCAAGCTAGCTGACAGTTTTTTAGCCTCCAGCTCACACATTTCCTGCCTTCGCTCAGGAAGGAGGGCTCCAGAGCAAACTGATTTACGCAGTAGCCATATCGCTCACTCACGATTTTAATGCCAGTTGCTCACAAGGTAGAATTTTTGCTCACAAGACTCCACGGCTTAGAGGAAGCATTGGAAGGCCTGACGTGGTGAGCCTCTGCTTTAGCTGCTGCTGAGACAGGAGTTCTGCAGCCGGTCCCTGGCTGATGACTCCCCAAACTCCCTGCACCCGTTTGCCTACCCTCCGGGATGAGGAAGGAGGCCCTTGTGCCAACTATTCATTGGGCACTTGATATCTGTTGCAGAATTAGGGCTGGATTGAGTCTCAGTCCTTTGCGAAAACTCTGCAAAACCTCTGGTACACCGATGGTGCTTTAATATCTACAGTAGTTGAAACTTTGGTCTGTTCCCAGGAAGCTTCAGGGCGCTGCTGAGAACTGTGGCCTTCACTGTACACAACACTGCCTCACATGACTTCTGCTTTCTGGGAATGTTTATACTTTGCAGAAGTCACTATCAAAAACTAAATAGATAAGAGTATCAGAAACTAGCTTCTTTATTTTCTGTGAGTCACCCTGGCTTAACCCAGCTTTCCTTGACTTTCCTGAGCCGAGAGATAGAAAGAAAGGGGCTGATCTTGTTGTATACGTCAGACGTATGTCAAATGCTCGTCACAGACTTGATTGACAGTTACATTAGCTTCAATGGGTTAAAGAGGGTACTTAATGTCTGATTTTAGTCTTGTTCCTGGTTGTTCTGATAAACTACCCTGCCACGGGTCTTGGCAGAACAACAAAGGATGTCTTTTATAGTATTACAAATGCACTATTTATGTATTGGGGTTGTGTTGAAGTATTCTATGTTGAATATTGAAATGCTACACAAACGTTTTCTGACTTAAGAGTGTGTAATGAAATAAATTGTGTCTTGATTTAGTACAAATGCCTCTCTCTCTTTTTGATGACATTGGGAAGCCAGCTTCTCTCCCTTCTCAAAATTGAACACAGTGAGAATGAGGATACATGATAAGGTTCCTGCCAGTGTTCCCTCTAAGCTGAGTTAGTGTGAGCTAGCTCACAATTTTTTGCCTCCAGCTCACATATTTCTGTCTTCGCTCAGGGAGGATGGCTCCAGAGCGAACTGATTTATGCAGTAGCCAAACGGCTTGCTCATAACATTAATGCCAGTAGCTCACAAAGTAGAATTATTGCTCACAAGTCTCCACAGCTTAGAGAGAGCATTGGTTCCTGCACCTCTGATTTCCGCAACAACATTACAAAGATAGCGCTGTGCAGTGGTTAGGGTTGGACCGAATTCTGAGCTTCCGTCAAGCACACAACACCTAGTGTTTGCACACTCAAAGTTGTCTTCAGCGTTTTGCTAAAGAGACATCATTCTAGCCATCCTCACAGAAGCCTGTGTGTTGCAAAGAAATCTAAGCCTTCCCTTAGGCCAGTGATGGGGAACCTTTTAGAGACCGATTGCCCAAACTGTGACCCAAAACCCACTTATTTATCGCAAAGTGCCAACACGGCCATTTAACCTGAATACTGAGGTTGTACTTTAGAAAAAACAACTCATACATTAACTTAAGATGATCCAAACAAAGTAAGGAAAGCAATCCCAAATGCTTTCATTTACTTAAAATTATTTGGCAGAGAATTCGACACTTTTAATGATGGTCTGGGCCTGGCTGGGGCGATGGCACGCGTGCCCACAGTGAGGGCTCTGAGTGCCACCTCTGGCACCCGTGCCATAAGTTCGCCACCACTGCCTTAGGCCATGTGCAGACAAAGAAATATTAGGGGAAAGGCAGCAGAGCAGGACTATTTCCCTAAAGTAGTCTTGCAGTTAGTTTAAGAGCTGAGGCTACTTCCACCACCTCAGGTTACTATTTAGAGACGCTGGTCAGCAGACAGCTCTGCCTGGGCTCAGCACACACAAACGAGGCTTCGTGCAGCTTCCAAAATCTGCTGAAGGTGCAAGAAACAAACTGGTTCTTTCTTCTCACCTTTGGTGGCAGCACTCGACGGTTAAGACATGTTGCTGGGAAATAGTAGAAGAGAAAATCCTACACAGTCCCATGGCTGCCCTTTTAGGCTACAGTAAAAAAGAAAGATAAAATCCACGTGCCTAGTAAGAACTCTACTTCTAGCAGCAAGACTACTAACGGCATGATAATGGAAGAAACAAGAGAAGTTATCCTGCCATGAAATTTGGTTGTGAAAAAAGTATGGTTCATTAGGTATACAGAAAAAAAAAGGAAATGAGCAAATGTGAGAAAGGAAACAATTTATCCAAGATGACTTAATCTGTTCAGTACTGGAACGGGGTTAAGCAGCCAGAGGAAAACATGAGGATAGAAATTTTACGCTGCATATGAATGGATACGCAAACATGCGGCCTCAAATCAATGTTGAGTTAAGAATTAGTAACAGCCTGTTTGAGAAGGAGGAATGTCTGGTGGACCTGCTCTGGTTTTGGTTCCCTTTAGAAGTTGTCAGTGGCAAGCACTGTTCCCTCTAAGCTTTTTATCCTCCGGCTCACATGTTTTTCTCTTCGCTCAGGAAGGATGGCTCCGGAGCAAACTCATTTATGCAGCAGCCAAGTCACTCGCTCACAACTTAAATGCCAGTGGCTCACAGAAAATAATTTTTGCTCACGAGACTCCACAGCTTAGAGGGAGCAGGCTGAAATGCTCTGAAGTCCTTTGCCTGAATATGTACGTGTCTATTTTAAAGAACCGGCTTCTTGACTGGGAGTTGTTTCCTGCAAGCTCACAAATGGCCTTTTAATACACTGTCTGAAAAATGATTTGCACGACTCTGTGATACCAGGGAGAATGACTATTATATGAAGGAGCCGCTCTTTGCTTTGTCACCCACCTGCAATATGAAGTTGATCCATATCTAAAGTCTCTGTTTCTGCAGGAACCCTTCCATACAGAGGGAAGTGAGTGCATCCCATACACTACGTCATAAACAGACCTGAGCAGGGAGTCTGCCCGTTCTAGCCAGCAGCCTGTGTTGGATTCCCCATCCCTTTAACCTCCTGCAGCAGACAGAAGTGGCACAACAGTCTCCCCCAGCCTCTTCTTACCTGCTGCCAGCCCCGGCTGTGGAGGATCAGAAAGTCAGAAGCATCCCTTTGGAGGTGGGCAATAGGGAAGCAGATGCATACAAGGCTTCAGCGGATGCCGTGGCGATGTCTGGTGCCTTCTGGCCAGAGGTGCCCTTCAAGAGATCACAGAAGCACAGGGTCAGTCAGTGGCTTAGACTGCTGGGACTGGAGGCAGTAAACTCCAGTTTTAACTCCCTGCTCAGGAAGCAGACCCTGGGCAAGGCTCTCAACGCAAAACGCTCCTCTGCGAGGCCGGAGACGGAAGCACCCCGTCTACCAGCATGTGTTTCCTCCCCCAATTTCGACAGGAAAGGGAATTAAGTCTGGGATATTACACAACACAGGATTTGAAAACTTTTAAGGTTTGGGCGAGGCTTCTGGAGAAGGCCAACCCCCCCCCTTCTTCACTCACCTCAGATATCCCTGCCAGCCCTTCCCCTCTGCCAGGCAGCTGTTGCTCCAACTTCTGGCAGCCTCCCCAACAGCTCAGCGGGAGACTTTGCTCTGCGAGTCCGTGGATGCCTGAGGCCCCCTGCGCTTTTACGACTCCAAAGGGGAGCCTTATCAACAGCTGCCTCTTGTCTCCTCCTCGACAAACTGTCGAAGGAGATGACCTGAGCTGCCCCTGGCCTCTGCAGGGAGGTCACGCCTGACGCTCCTGATTCTGGACTCTGCCCCTCAGGCATTGTTCAGAGGAAGAGGCTGCAGAGACCACTCACAAGATCTAGGAGAGTATTCCTGCACAGTGCCAGAAATGAGATTTCCGTGCCACGGCAGCACGCTGCTCTTCCCAGCTGAACATTTCTTCTCTGAAGGGTGTGTGTGACAAGACTCTCCCCCCAAGGAAGTTCACAACAATCAGTATCTGCAGTGAGAGGCAGACTGCTCTAAAACACGGAGAATCCAGTTCTGACTGTCCCACCTACTAGCCACTTTCAGATCTACCCACAGCTACATTTTGATCTCTTTTTGTTGGAGTTTCAAGTTGCTTACACTTCAGTCATTACAGAGTTAAGTTTACGTTACATAATGTATTCTACAGCGGGAAAGTTTGTGGGAGTTGCTTAGCCTAATGAAGTGACCTGTAACCTTTGTATTGGTCAACTAACAACTTGTTTGTGGAAATGCTTTGATCTACCATTCCTGTATTCACAAGGTTTATGGCTCTTTGTGTGAAACAGACAGGAAGCTTCTCTCTTGAAGTCAACACACAAATAGAAAGATGTAGCCGTTAGCAAGTAGTACTGAAAGTGACTGTAAGCATGTAACCTTTTGTTTTATTTCTTTTATCCAAAGTACCTTACCCATGCTTTATTTTGTTTTGTAGTAAAAGATATTTTTCTTTTACTAATGTGGCTCTTGTGTTTGCAAAACGACCATCGATCTTGAATCTAAGAATCCCAACACTTTTAAAGAAGCCATTAAGATCATAAGAGAAGCCCATGTTGGATCAAGCCAATGGCCCATCTAGTCTAACACTCTGTGTCACACAGTGGCCAAAAATACCAGGGGCCATCAGGAGGTCCAGCAGTGGGGCCAGGTTCATGCTGACCGCTTTCCATCACCCCTCTGCTTGTGCGTTCCACAGCACATTTTTGTACTTGGTAAAAAACGACTTCATTTTGCTTGCCATATTTTTGTTGTTCAGTTGTATAGTTGAGTCCGACTCTTCGCGACCCCATGGACCATATCATGCCAGGCCCTCCTGTCTTCCGTCGTGCTCCGGAGTTTGCTTAATGTCATATGCTTGCCATATACCTGTTATTAAAATTCCTTGGGAGTCCCCGGGCCTTTTTAGTGGCCCTGTGTTTTATTTTTCATTCTCCTCCTAGACCACGGAAGGGAAGGCACTCAGTGATACAGCGCATGCTTTGTGCATGCCAAGGGTCTCAGGTTCAACCCGTGGCATATCAGTGAAAAGATCTCAGGGCCAAGCCAGAAGAGGCACTGGGAGTTTTGTACCTGGAGCTCTCGGGGTGTCAGGTGTATGGGGAGGAAGGTACCTGTACGTTTTCCTAGAGGAGCAGCAGAGCCATTTTAAGTCAGGAAAACAGCAGGGGGGGGATCTTAAAGGGCATCTAAAATCAGGCCCCTGCACACTTGATGACTGAATTTCCTAAAAATACTTGGAGGTCAGACATTAAACTCCCAGCACCTGGGCTGGCCTGGCCCTTGGCTAGCAGGGGCTGGGAAAGGCCCCCCTTTGCAGAAGACCTTGCAGAGCCAGGCAGCGCTGACAAGTACCAAGCCAAGCAGACCCATTCAAGGCAGCTGCAGATGATTCTATAAACGTACAGCTTGCCCATTAAGAGCAACCTTTTCAATGCAGCGTTTCTGATTGTTCCAAGAGTGGCTCACGTGACAATATGTTTTGCAGAAAGTGCAAAATGGTAAAGATGGGTAGCCGTGTCAGTCTGTTTGTAGCAGTGGTTCAGAGGTTAAAGACGCTGAGCTGCAGACGGGGAAGTCTGTAGTTCGGCAGTTCGAGACCTTGGTGCTGCGTGACGGAGTGAGCTCCTGTCTCTGGCCCCAGCTCCTGCCAACCTAGCAGTTCGAAAGCAAGAAATTGCAAGTAGATAAACAGGTACCGCTTCGGTGGGAAGGGAACAGCATTCCGTGCACCTCAGCGTTTAGTCATGCCGGCCACATGACCATGGAAACATCTTCTGACAGCGCTGGCTCTTCGGCTTGGAAACGGAGATGAGCACTGCAACCCTAGTCAGATTCGACTGGCTTTCGAGCGAGGGAAACCTTTACCTTTAGCAGTAGGAAAAGAGCAAGAGTCCAGTAGCACCTGAAAGACTAACAAATTTGTGGCAGGGGAGGAGCTTGTGTGAGTCTCTGCTTACTATTCCAGGTATCGACGGGGGTTATTTCCAGATAATTTGTGTCGCACCTATACCTAAGTGATCGTGGGCTTCAGTATTCTGGCTATTCAGCTAGATTTGAGTCCAGTAGGACCTTAGAGACCAACCAGGTTTTTTGGGGTGTGAGTTTTCAAGACTCAAAACTCCCTTTTTCAGAGCTGACAAAAGGCTTTTGAGACCTCATACCCCCCCAAAAAAATCTTGCTGGCTGTTATGGTACTCTGGGACTCCAGTTTAGCACAGCCCCCCCTCTGAAACGTTATCATTTCAGTTTGCTCACCTCTCCCCCCATATCCTACTGCAAACTGGACAGCGCATTATCACAAATGCAGTCAAATCTATTATTTAATCACCTTTATTACGGAATACATACATTCATGTAATGTATGGCTGCGAGAGTTGGACTATAAGGAAGGCTGAGCGCCGAAGAATAGATGCTTTCGAATTCTGGTGTTGGAGAAGACTCTGGCGAGTCCCCTGGACTGCAAGGAGATCAAATCAGTCAAACCTAAAAGAAATCAGCCCTGACTGTTCCCTGGAAGGCCAGATAATGAAACTGAAGCTCAAATGCTTTGGGAGCCCTCACTGGAGAAGACCCTGATGCTGGGAAAGATTGGAGGTCAAAGAAGAAGGGGATGGCAAAGGATGAGATGGCTAGACAATGTTATCGATGCAACAAACATGAAATTAAGCAAACTCCGGAGCACGGAAGACAGGAGGGCCTGGCACGATGTGGTCCATGGGGTCACAAAGAGTCGGACTCGACTGTGCAACTGAACAACAACAACATTCCGGAGTAACGCCTGACCCATTTCCTTTAATGTTTTCACTTACACAACAGTTATTGTTCCTGGTATCAGGAAGCCAAGTCACTTGTTTCCTGAAAGTATCTGGTTTCCATCAGGATCCTGCTGCAAGTCCCAAGGTGGCTCTCAACAGGCGGGGCAGTGGGAGCAACCTGGCTCTCAGCAGGAGCCTTCAGCAGCTGAGGCTTGTGGCTGGCTCCGGGGGACCTGCAGGAAATCTCACCGACCGGCTTCCAGGCTCCGGAGGACTCCCTTGCTAAATGCTTCCACCCTCGCTGAATAATAATGCACTTTCAGTTAACTTTGCAACTGGATTTGATGGCAAAATCTCCTAAGAGCATAAGAGAAGCCCATGTTGGATCAGGCCAGTGGCCCCTCCAGTCCAGCACTCTGTGTCACACAGTGGCCAGAAATACCAGGGGCCCTCAGGAGGTCCAGGAGTGGGGCCTTGCAAAACCATCACCAAAGGACACTGAACGCAGACCGAAACAGCATCATTCAGCATGAATGAAAGCACCCTAAGCGGGAGAAGGGGGGGATGCCAGCCTCCAGGTGCGACCTGGAGACACCCCCTCCCCTGAATTACTGCTCCAGACGACAGAAATGGAGAAAACAGCGGCTTTAGAGGATCGACTCTACGGCACGGCACCCCGCTGAAGCGCTGTCCCTCTTCAGGCTCCACCCCCAAACCTCCAGATGTTTCCCAACCTGGAGCCTGGCAATCCTGGGTGCCAGCCTCCAGGTGGGGCCTGGGGATCCCCTGCCTGGACTGGCAGCTCCTCTCCAGAGACTGCAGAAATCAGCTCCCCTGGAGGAAGCGGCCGCTTTGGAGGAGGGACATCACGAGACCTTGCAGAGGCCAGAGGTCCCTGCCCTCCTCCCCAGGCTCCACCCCCAAACCTCCGGGAGCTTCCCCACCTGGAGACTGGCAATCCTCGATGCCAGCCTCCAGGCGCGACCGGGAGGCCCCCCCCGCCACTGTTCCCTCTAAGCTGAGTAAGTGTGAGCTATCCCACAGTTCTTTAGCCTCCCGCTCACAGATTTCTGTCTCAGCTCAGGGAGGAGGGGGCTCCAGAGCAAACTGATTTGTGCAGCAGCCAAATGGCTCGCTTACCACTTTAATGCCAGGAGCTCACAAAGTAGGATTTCTGCTCACAGGACTCCACAGCTTAGAGGGACCGCCCCCCCCCCCGCCCATCTCCAGAGACTGCAGAGACCAGGCCCCCTCGGAGGAAGCGGCTCCCTCCCCTCCCCAATCCCCGGGAGTCCCCCAAGCAGGAGCTGGCCTGGCCACCCTCAGGAGGGGTCGCCTGCCTCCCGGCCTGGGGCGCCGGCCGAGGGCTTTGCACGCGCGCGCCGCGTGTCAGCCGGTTCCCACGAGACGGCCCGTCCCCCGCGCCCGGGGCGGCTGCACTCACGCGCTCCCGCCGCCTCTTCCTCCATCCCACTGAGGGCCCGGCGGGGCCGCGCGGCCGCCCCCTTCCCAGAGTGCCCCGAGCCAGTGCCCGAGCGCGGCCGCTTGTCCCCGTCCCCGGAACAGTGGCTCAAGAGGGCGACCCTTCCCAGCATCCTCAGCGCGGCGGCCTTCCCAGCATCCCCCGGCGCGCCCCAGGAACATGGCTCCCTTCCCACAATGCCCTCCTGCGCTTGGCCAGAGTTTCTTCAGCCTCTTTTAAAGGCCACCCCCCCAAAAAAAAACCCATTGTCCCCTTCCCAGAATGCTTTAAAGTCACACACACACCCATTTCCCAGAAATAGGGTTGCCAGATCTGGGTTGGAAAATACCTGGAGACTTTGGGGGTGGAGCCAGGAGAGGGCGGGGTTTGGGGAGGGGAGGGGCCTCAGCATAGTACAATGCCATACAGTCCACCTTTCAAAGCAGCCATTTTCTCCAGGGGAGCTGAACTCTGTCAGCTGGAGATCAGTTGTAAAAGCGGGAGATCCCCAGGCCCCACCTGGAGGCTGACAACCCTACCCAGAAAGCTCCGCACCGGCCTTGGTCTCTTCCTCGGGTACCCCCTCACAGGTGTTCAGCGCCATTGGGCTCCCTTCCTTGAGCCAGTTTGGTGTCGTGGTTAAGTGCGTGGACTCTAATCTGTGAGAACCGGGTTTGATTCCCCACTCCTCCACTCGCAGCTGCTGGATGACCTTGGGCAAGCCATAGTCCTGGCACAGCTGTTCTTGAAAAAGAGCAGTTTGTGTCAGAGCTCTCTCAGCCCCACCTGCCTCACAGGGTGTCTGTTGTGGGGAAGGGAAGGGAAAGGCGTTTGTAAGCCGCTCTGAGACACCTTTGGGTGGTGAAGGGCAGGGTATAAATCCAATCTCCTCTTCTTCTTGAGCTGCAGCATCCCTCTACCCGCAGCCTGACCCATTGCTGTTCCTCCGGCCTCCTCAGTGGGCCTCGCAAGCACCGCTTCCTCCCCGGGATGCCCTTTCCCCAAGGACTCCATTATCAGGGTTCTGCAAGCAGGGGACATGAGTGGGTCAGACCTGCACACACCACCGTAATCAGATGGTGAATGGCTTGCACAGGATTCCCAGAAGGGCCAGGTCACCAAATGGCAACGTCAGGGGGGGAAATACACTCGATAAATGTACCTAGTCATACAATTATTATGTTATGCCGGCTCTTTCTTTCCTGGTTTCTTTTCCTAAAGAGACTTCGCTAGGCAGCCCCTTCTGATCAAGCATGGAAGAGAAACCTTCCAGAACCGGGTTGTCCCCAAAGGCACCCACAGCCACTACAAAACAGCGTGCTCCTCAGAAGAGGAGGGCAGAGTCCAGCAGGAGCACGGGGCCCGCAAAGAAGAAGGCCCGCAAGGCCCCCAGGGGAGCCGCCCCCCATTTCCTGGTGCACGAGACAGACAATGACATGCTGCTGATCATTTCCAACGTGGGCGAGGAGCAAGAGCGGCCAACTCGGAAAGTGTCCAAGAGGAAGCGGAAGAAGCCGCGGAAAGGGCTGAAGAAGCCTCAGCAGCGGAAGAGGTTGAAGAAGCCGGCAGTGAGCAGAGGGAAGGGAGGGGCTTTGGCAGAACAGCCCGTGACTGCAGGGAGCCTGGGAGAGGGCAGCAAGGTGTCTCTACCCAGCACCCATCCAGCGGCCGGTGGGTCCTGGGGCGAGCAACTCCCGGTGGAGATCCTGGTGCAGATATTCCAGCACGTTGTGGCTTCGGAAGGATCAGTGCCCTTCCTCTGCAGGTAAGTGATAGGACCGGGGCAGGACCGTTCCTCAGCAGGAGCAGCTGATCCTCCCCAGGCTGTGGGCGTGAAGGGACATTATCTTCATAGCCGTTTCTCTCTCTAGGGTGGCCCGCGTCTGCCGGCTCTGGTACGGAGCTGCTGCTAACCCTGTGCTTTGGCAAAAGGTGTCCCTCGGCTACTGCTGGGCAGCGCCGGGCCAAAAATGGTCTCCCACTGTAGAGAAGAGAGCCCTTGGCACTGTGGAGTGGTTGGTTGGCCACAGGTGAGGATCTGTCTTTCCCTTGTGGGAGACGCACCCTCTTCATGAGATGGTGTGGCATCACCTGCCCACCTGCCATCTTTTTTCCCTTGGCAGCGGTCCCGTGCCCACCACATCCTGCTCTTTGCACCTGCTTCATTCTCCCTTTGCCGGGGGGCAGGGCCTGAACCAGGAACTCATTTTATGCTTGCTTCCTTCTTGCAGGTTTTCTCGCCTCCGGGACTTTGCTCTCTGCCACTGGAAAAACCACGTGCCCTTTGTCCTGAAGGTGAGGGGAGTTGGCAAACTCGGTGACATGCACCATATCCTGTGTGTCTCTTGTTTGCTTTCCTACGGATCATAAAAGCAGGAAAAAATGATGCAACACAAGCTAGTAACACACAGCTTCCCTCAGTTTGTTTAATCAGTGTGCAGGATTTTGAAGTTTGAATTTAATGATGCAATTTTTATTTTTTTTTGCTGAGGTGCAGAATACCTAGCCTTACACGTACTTAAGGCAAAGTTCGTTGTGTCGCCTAATCTCCTTTTCCTGTCCTCCTTGGTTTCAGGAAATTAGTAAATCCTGCCCCCTCCTTGCCTCTCTCAAATTGTCCCACTGCAGTGGAGTGACTGCGGAGTCTTTGGCCATGCTGGCTGAGTGTTGCCCTGAGCTGGAGAGCCTGAATGTGCAGCATTCCCAGGTGAGGGCTGGCCGCGTCCGAAGGGAAGGGCTCAGAAGGAGAGAGCCAGCCGGATCCTCCCAAAGCGGTTCAGTTGCAGGACCTCTCTTCCTGCCGCCTTCTTCTGTACTCCCAGGTTCACTCTTCAGCTGTGGTCAGCTTTCTTGAAGCTGCTGGCTCTCGAATCCGGCACCTGTGGTTGACGTACAGCTCCCAAACAAGCGCCATTATTGCTGCTCTTTCAGTAAGCTCAACTAGAGCATTCGGGAGGATGGCTTGATGTGGGATGGTTTCAGCTTGCGGGCGACGGGAGGGAGGGACACCTCTGAGGGAGGGGGAACGGGACACCTGCTCCTGACTGTCCTGTGCAGTCTTTCCTTCATTTGGCCTCACAACAACCCTGCTGTCCCCATTTTGGAGAGGCAGTGTGGTCCAAGGGAGAGAGCCCTGGGCACAGATCTGGAAGGACCTGATCCGTATCCTTGCTTAGCCAGTGGGCTTCCCGGACTGCCTTGGGCGAGTGACTCAGCCTCAGTCTCTCTGCCTGTAAAACAGGAGTCACGATGACTGGCTTCACAGGGTTGTTGTGAGGACAACTGAGAAAGTGCAGATGTGTTGTACGCTTGAAACTCTATATAATGTTATCAATGGGTCACCAAAGTAGAGAGTATGGTCTGACTGCAGGCTCTGCTACTTCTCAGCATCAAAATGACAAGTCCCCTGTGGCCAGCAGGCCAGGCTGGTGGGGTTGGTCACGTGAAAGCACTGTTGTATGTGCGTTCTGGGAGCATCGTTTCTGTGTCAGGGTCACTCAGTGCTAATGGGAGCAGACCCATTTGCCCCAGACTTTTCCTGTTGTCTCCTACCGCTGCTTGTCCTTTGGGGTGGGGGGTGGTTGTGGGGCTCCCCACGTGTAAGTTCCAAGCTGCTGAATAACTAGCCCCTTAGTAAAGTGGTTTAAGTGAGTCTTCCTGGGAAGCGGCGCTTGCAACGCCACTTCCTGAAGCCCCTTTGTCTTACAGAGTGGCTCCTGTCCTGGGCTGCAGCTCCTGGAGGTGAACACAGACATCAAGCAAGTCAGCCAGCACTTCCAACTTCCTGTTGAGCAGCTCCAGGTTGCCTGCCCACATATGCAGGTAAGGAGATAGGGCCACTGTGGTGCATGCCCCGGTAACATCTAGATTAGATTACTGCAATGTGCTTTATATGGAGCAGCCCTTGAAGACTTGTCTGGAAGCTGACTGGAGTTGGTTGTAGAGGCCATATCGCTCCAGCCTTGTTCCATCTACACTCGTTTCCAGTTTGCTTCCAAGGTGCTGGTATTGACCCTTAAAGCCCCGTACAGCCTGGGGCCAACGTACCTTGAGATGAGCTGGTGACCCTGGGGCTGTTGTCTTTCCTTGTGCTGCCCTGGCTTGCCTCTCCTGCTGGAGTTCTGGAAGCATGAATTGCAGTGCAGGACCGCCGTGTTCACTTCTGCTCTTTGCATGGAGCGCATTGGGCTCTGGGTTTGTCATATAAAGCTAATATTGCTTACTTTATGAGAAGATATTCCAATTCCACAGATACGATTGCCTTCAGTTTCATTATGGATGTCTAAGATATGGGACTGCTATATTTTAGGAAAAATCACAGATAGACTGTTATAACTTGAACATAAAAACTATATGTCAACTTTTGTTGAAAAATGGTTTCTGGTTATAAGTTACATGGCACAGAATGAATTATTCCTGATTATTTAGTTTCACCTGAAGTGTTTGTTCTATAAACCCCATAAGAACATAAGAGTATGTTGGATCAGGCCAAAGGCCCATCCAGTCCAACACTCTGTGTCACACAGTGGCCAGAAATACCAGGTGCCATCAGGAGGTCCACCAGTGGGGCCAGGACATTAGAAGCCCTCCCACTGGGTTTTTTTTTTAATATAACACAATTTTTATTATTTGGATATATTAGCAAACAACATTACATTTTGTATACTTTCATCCCCCCCCCATATATCCCTTTCTTCCACTCCTTCCCCCCTTTTTCCTGGCCTCCCGCAATGCTCCACCCTCTCGAATAATACAGTATAAACTTTATAAAC